AAGAAGGTAAGTACAGGCATGCTCCAAGAAACTTGAAACGCTGTGCGTGCTCGGCGCCATTGCCGCTGGTTTGTGCACATCGCACGTCGTGTAACCTACTGACTTACGATTTTGTTGACTTTACATTTCAAAAGCAAACCTCTTAATTGTCTCGTGCTATCGCCACTCCCTCAGAATGTCAGACCAGGATCGTGGTGTTTTGAGCGATTGGTTGGGACACTCCGTTGATGGTGCTGGACCTCACTCTGGAGTTCAATCGGGCTCCTTCTTCGATAAAATATCGTCCAAGGTCCACGATGTTGAGGCTACCATCAAGGAGAAGTTCTCCGGAGACAACAGCCAAGCCGATTCTCATACCCATACACATCAAGTTGGACAGTGCTCTGATGGATCCCACCCAGCATCCGCCCATCGTTTCCAGTCCTTCGCGCCCCAGAGAACTGGAAATGAAGCTAAGTGGTATGTCGACGGCTGTGGCTATTTCTGGGCTGTTAGTGTCGCACTCGAACAAGCCAGACAAACCGTGTGGATACTTGACTGGTGGCTCTCGCCAGAGCTCTATCTCCGACGACCACCTGCTCAGAACGAACAGTACCGGCTAGATCGCACGCTACAACGAGCAGCTGCCCGTGGGGTCAAGGTTAACATCATTGTGTACAAAGAGGTCACTCAAGCCTTGACGTTATCCTCCTCTCACACGAAGCATGCCCTCGAAAATCTGCATCCAAACATTACTGTCTTTCGACATCCTGACCATCTGCCGGACAGACAGGTCTTGGAATCCGGTATCCTGAACGCTTTCCGCAACCTGAATCTGAATGCTGCAACCGCATCCAAGCTACCGGGCGATGCTTTGAAAGGGATTTACGGAATGAACGATGAGACTGTTCTCTATTGGGCACATCATGAGAAGCTCTGCCTCATTGATGGTCACATAGCTTTTATGGGAGGGCTGGACCTTTGTTTTGGACGCTGGGATACCAATGACCATCCCATTGCAGACGTACACCCAGGCGATCTGAACAAAATAGTTTTCCCTGGCCAGGACTACAATAATGCTCGGATCATGGATTTCCAGGATGTTGCCCATTGGGAGAACAATAAACTAGATCGCAAATGGAACTCTCGCATGGGATGGTCAGACATGTCCATTTCTATAATCGGACCAGTGGTTGAGGACCTCAAAGCTCACTTTGCTGAACGCTGGAATTTCATTTACAATGAGAAATACCACGCGAAGAGCGACGGTCGTGTTGGACCTATCCACTTCCAAACCAGTCAGGTAGGGATCATCTCTCATGGCCAGGACACAGGGCCTGGTGCGTACCACCATGAGCATCATCGCTTTCGAGAGCGATTCAAAGAAGAATACGATCAAGGTCGAAGAATGCTTGCCGATCGGACGGAGCAGTTCCAAGAGCAGTATGGGTCTGGAGGACAATTCCCCCACGGCATGCCGGGGCCCATCAGCTGCCAGATCATGCGTAGCTGCTGCAAATGGTCAAATGGAAGTGCACTTGAGCACTCCATCGCAGATGCGTACATCGACGCCATTGCAAAGAGCAAACATTTTGTTTACATCGAAAACCAGTTCTTCATCACGGCATCCACGGACAAGCAAAAGCCAATCAAGAACAAGATCGGAGCTGCCATCGTCGAGAGGATCATCCGAGCAGCGCAAAACAACGAGGCGTACAAGATCATAGTTGTCATGCCCGCCATCCCCGCCTTCGCAGGCGATCTCAAATCCGACGACGCCCTATCTACCCGGGCCATTATGGAATTCCAATACAACTCGATCAACCGCGGCGGACACTCAATCTACGAGTCTCTCGACGCTGCCGGTATCAATCCAACGCAGTACATCCGCTTCTACAACCTCCGCAACTACGACCGCATCAACATCTCCGATGCGCTGGACACCGCCGAGCAGCGCTCAGGCGTGGACTACGATGCCGCCCGCCGCGGCTACGACCAACGCTATGGTGCGGGCTACGCCGGCAACCCGCAGGCATCAGGTGACAACTACGGCCGTCCCGGGGACGACATCCAGAACTACGAGCGCTTCCAGGCCGCCACGTCCACGTTGGGAGACCAAGGCGGACTGGCAACAGGAGAGTATGACAGCATAAGCGGATGCTACATGACGCCGCGAGTGCCGCTGCGCAGTATCCCCTGGCGCGGCAGTCCAGAGGCAGAGATCGACGCGTTCGTGTCCGAGGAGCTGTATGTGCATACCAAGCTGCTCATCGCGGACGACAGATTGGTGATCTGTGGCAGTGCGAATCTTAACGACAGGTCGCAGCTGGGAAGCCATGACTCCGAGATCGCAATCTGTATCGAGGACCCTACGCCCGTGAATAGCGTCATGGCGGGCCAGCAGTGGACGGCGAGTCGGTTCGCGGCGTCGCTGAGGAGGTTTGTCACGAGGAAACATCTCGGTCTGGTGGGGAAGCAGGACTATACCAACCCGAACAGGGAAAAGGGCTTTGAGCCCGTGGCGTCGGGCGAGGGGAATGAGTACGACTTTGGGAGTGAGGAGGATCGGATTGTTGCGGACCCTCTTGGGGAAGGGTTTGAAGATCTGTGGAATGGGACTGCGAGGACGAACACGGACGCTTTTGAGAGGGTGTTCCATCCTGTGCCCACGGATAAGGTGAGGACGTGGAAGGAGTATGATGAGTATTATAGTCGATTCTTCAAGACGTTGAGTGGGGAGGAGGAGAAGAAGGCCGAGGAGAAAGCCAGGAAAGAGGGGAGGACGGTGGAGGCGGGTAGGCCGAGCACCTGGAAGTGGGGCCATATGGTGGCTGAGGAGTTTCCTGGAGGTGTGGAGGAGGTGAAAGATGTGTTGGCTGGGATTAAGGGAACACTGGTGGAGATGCCGCTGATGTTCTTGAAGGATGAAGATATTGCAAAGGAGGGGTTGAGTTTGAATGCGTTCACTGAAGAGGTGTACACTTGAGTTCTTGCTGGGATGGGAACTAGAGAAATTGCTGTATGGGACGAATATGGAAAGCATGGGTTGGAGATTCGGGACATGACATGATTGACGTAGCGACAAAAGTCATCAGAAATGCATACCATGAGTTTGGACTACATGCCATCGACGCTATGAACATTACACGCCTGTGCCATACGCTATGAAGTGACTCAAGAGAGTCGCATGCAACCTTTTCCGTCCAGACGCCCGAATCTCGTTAGGAAGGTTTCCGAACATGACCACCCTCCAGTAGTATCACGATTAAAGCTTCGTTCTCCCTTCGTCTGTCAACCTCCTTCCCATCCGCACCGGACTCGTGGGCCCAGCTCCCGCCGCAGCCGCAGCACTGGTCCCCGGCTCCTCACCTGCCACGCCTACGGCCCTGGCCAGCCCCCTCGCCGCCGCAACCGCGGCTTGAGCGGGGCTACCTGTCCTGTCAGCCTGGGGCCCATAGCCCTGCTGCAGTCGCACGCTGGTCAACCAGCCGACCTGCCTGCCCAGCCCACCGACCTGGCCGGCGAAGTAGGCTAACTCGTCCTTGAGGCGCAAGTTCTCGTTCAGGATCAGCATGCTGTGGCGGGCATCGAGGTCGGACAGGGCTGATGAGAGGCGAGATAGCTCGTCGCGCAAGGATTCGTGCAGGGACAGGAGATGCGTATAGGGCGAGGTAAACCCGGCTGTTTCTGAGGGAAGGGAGTAGTCTGGTATCAGTAGGGCCTCGGAGGCGGCTGTTGTGGGTGGTAACGAGGACAAGGAAGGAAGGTCAGATGTGGGGCTACTGGAGCGGGCAGGTGGCGGTGGGAGCGAGTCAGCCGAGCGTTGCAGGATCTCTTCAACAGACTTGAAGCCTCCTTCAAGCACTTGGACTTTGCGCGTCATGAGCTCTTGTTGCTCTTCGACATCGTGCAAGCGCTTAGCCTGGGCTTCAAAGAAAGGTGCTAGAGCTGCGAAAGTGCATTGCTTGGTGTGTTGATTGATGGCGCCTCGGCGGGATCGGAATGTGCAGCCGTAGCTGGCGCCAGTGCAAGGTATCGTGAATGCTGGGCAAGTCTCCCTTGCATGGGTCGATATTTCCCTGTAGAATACGGGACCCTGACAGAGGTCGCATATAACTTTTCGATCGGGGCACTCGCTCTTCCAATGTGTCTCAAGGTTCGCCATGTGGGTGGTCTGTCTGCAGTCTATGCACGTGACTCCAAAGTGCAGGCACTCATCGCCATCTTTCCGTCGGAGCGGCAGCTCGCACTCGGCAGATGGACAAGCGATCCACGTATAGCCGCAGTAGTTCTTGACATGGTCTTGTACCTCACTTCTCTTTATTTGTGCTTCACAGCCCTCCTCGTGCTTGGGACACTTGACAATCAGGTCATCCAGGATGTTGACGAGAATCCGCGACACAGGTCCACGCCCTATCAGCTTGCTGCTAGTGCGGCAGGTCGGGCAATTACCCTTGGGAATGCCGGGAGTGTAGCCTGCTGGATTCCAAGTTTGCCGTAAACAATCTCGACAAAAGCAGTGATCGCACTCATCCAACACGACAGGGTCCACAAACGGCGACCTGCAGATAGGACACATGAGGTTGGTGTCGTAATCGGAGACATAATCTAAGAGGTGGAAATCGACTGGCCGGTTCCATGCCATGGTACGAGCGTTTGTCCGGGTTGTCTCCTCGAGTCTTAATCGACACTCCAATCTTCTTGTGCCAAATGGGCCAGGGACGGTAGGCAGAGCAGGGGCAGATTGTTGCATCGGAGGTTGTAAGATGGGAGGTTGGGGAGCTGGGGTTGCAGGAGGGGTGTGGCGTTCATTCTGTATGGGTTGTCTCCTTGACAGACTGGAACCGGTGAAGAATGACATTTAAAGCTTCTGGTTGGAGATCGCGGCCTAATTCTCGGCGTTAGGAGGAACCCAGAAACAGGGTGAGGTATGCGCGACGTGCTAATACTGGCAGCTGCATCAACGGTGTGATTCGTGGAGCAAGAGTATGTCGAATTGTTGTATGCATGCAAAGATGCGCCCGCTTTAATGCAAGGTCGCGCCTGCCAGATTGTCGATGCAGCGGACAGGGAGGTGGGACGAGACGGTTGTCAAGGGCCGGAGATCGAGTCGGCCATCAGACAGAGGATATAAGAACAGGTTGGGATGTTGACAGAGGATTCATTTCCTCGAGTGAGACATGCATGGGAGGATCCCCGCCGCGCGGTGGAGCCGGCGGTATGTCGTGTCATGCTCGCGGGCAGGTTTGGCGTGTAACGCGGACGTTGTCCCCGCATACTCCCCTTGGGCACGGGGGCCTCGCGGGCCTCGGCGGAATGGGGTTGCTACTATTCCGGGCAGCTGCAAGGGGGTCGCCTGTGCCCTCGTGCCCCCTCGTGCCTGCCCTAACCTCTGTTTTATGGCCGATCACGAAATGCCCCGAAGGCATAAGGGCCCACATTCCGCATCCGCGTCCGACAACCATGCAGTGAGAATGTGCCTCCTTGACCGTCCGTCTGCATCTGCTGCGTGGAACTGCCAAGGGGTCGTTGGCTTATGGGATTCAGTCAGGCGGAGTGACTGATCATACGGAATTTAGGCGAGCAGATTGTATATTGCGACTACTGTACCACTATTGGACGTAAGACATTATTGGCAGCTGGCGGATGATGGGGTTGGGTGCAGAAATGGTCAGACGATGCTAAAGGGCTACTGTGTGTTGCTCGCATCTCAAGGTCTGGCTTGACATACGTCGTTTTGAGCTCTCTGTCAAGACTGTGGGTGGATTGAGTTTCAGTGGCTGTCTTTTCCTCTGCTTGCTGTGTTTTGGCAAAACATCAGTTCTTAACGTCGCCAGCCCACATCGCACAGATCTACGTCAAGCTTCTCGCGAACGCGCCGGCGTGACGCTACCGTGTTGGCGGCCTCATGGCTGTGTGTCCGATTGGCCGAATTACAGTTATTTATTGAAGAATTAATAGTAGCATGCAGTGTCTGGACGTTCAAATACTGTATACTGAACTCTAGCGATTACCCGGCTTTTGCCAAGACCTTGTACCTGTTGTCGTATTCTCCTCGCATAGAACACCCAAAGGGTCGAATGCATGTGGCAGTGGAACGGATTGTGGCCTAGGGACTAAGAATATCAACACTGGTCAGGTCAGGTAACATCTGATGGCAAAGCAGGATATAGGTTGCACTGATATCGAGGCTGAGTCACTGGTCTGGGGCGTCCGACGTTGGACCGGCATCGCGCTTACCACCACGCATCTTTGTTGCGACTCAGATATTCTTCCGCTCTTCCCCTCACTATTGTTATGTCGTGACGGTCTTCGCTGGACCGCCAAACGAGTGCGCCAAGATGAGCGATGACGAGCATGCACCGGGCCATGCTTCGTTCCAGATGCGAGCGGTGCGTGACTTTTTCCTGGTGCCTCTAGGCTGACTGCGACTAATGCGGAGAATAGTGCGAGCATTGCCGCCAGAGAAAGGCAAGTATATCCCTCACCCAACAAGTTAATGTTATACTTTCTGACCCTTACCACAGATCAAGTGCGACAGAAAGGCCCCCTGCGCCAGTTGCCGCAGCCTTCAGATAGAATGTAGGCCGTCCGCAAAGTCCGCGGCCGTGCGAACCCGCACCGCGCCGGCATCCACAGCTAGCCAAAGGTCGCGCGCTATCTATACTCGTCTGACAGCCTCGACTTGCACTGACAGTCCCTCAGTGATCGGCAGATGTACATAATTAATCAACGGCTGGCCTCTATCGAAGACAGCCTCAAGAAACTCACCGCATCATCCATCAGCTCGCCCATCCGACCATCGGACACGTCCTCGCCAAACATAGAAGACTCCCCCGCCAGTGCATTGCCCACTTTCGATGGAGAATCTTCCTTCGAGGTCCAGACCTTACAGGCCAGTGAAGCCGCCAACCGTACCGTCTCCCAAGTCTTCGGTCATGCCTCTAATGTTCAGCTCAAGACCGCCATTTCTTCTCTCATCTCTAGTCTCGAGGCTCACAATCTCGACGCTCGTGCACATGACGCCTATCTCTCCTCTATTGACACAATCATTGCCCCAGAGGCTTTGCCTTTGCCCCCAGCTGACATCATCTCTGCAATCGTGAAGAAAGTCAAAAGTAAGTCCTCTAGAAAGATCTGCAACGCTACTTCATTCCTAAAACTCCGCAGCAAACCCACCCATGATACTTGCAAATCTTCTACCGCGCGGCCTAAGTTATATGGAGCAGCTCTGCCAGAAGTGCTACTTCCCTTCTGCTTCCCTACCTAGTGGCAGCCGTGCCCTCCTATTTGCACTCCTCTTCTTTACCATGCGGGATTATGTCAACGACGAAGATTCTGGCTTCTCCCCAGCGCAGCTGCAACCGAGTATGCAACTCTGCGAACAGAACTTCTACAGATCTGTCGAATCGTACACAACTTTAACAGTGCCAACCTTGGAAAATACGGCGGCCCTCTTCCTCGCGGTAAGAATGATCTCTCAATCTTCGTGGCACACACCAGCACTGACTCACGCCAGGCTATGAGGGCGCATGAAGAGTCGAAAGTACACCTCGTCTGGACCTACACATCCGCCGCTGCCACCATGTGTTATTCACTTGGGTTCCACAGGAGATCTACTGTAGTCAACGACCCATTAGAGATCTCAGAATTGAAACGCCAGGTGTTCTGGAATATCTACATGACAGACAAAAATCTTTCTCTGAACCTTGGACGCCGATCCAACTTCTGCGACGACGACATTGACCAAGATGTATTTCCCGTTTCGGAGGATCCCCGACAGCGTCCACTTGACCAACTAAACAATATATTCATAAAGTATGGCGTTGTGCAAGGGAGAGTCTATGATGAGCTTTATTCTCCAAAGGCAGCCAACAGACCGCCCTCTGAGAAAAAGGTTGCTGTAGAGTATCTCGGGCGACAGATCCTCGACATCGTCGAAAACGAGATGAAGACCGTACGTTCATGGTGCTCCCACCACTTATGTGTCCCTACTGATTAAGATACAGCTTGAAGTTTCGCAATCATGGTTCCCCGAAGCTCTTGGTGGCATGCTCGCGGCATCTGATGCAATGGCATATACGACTTTGACCACCATCTATCGAGCCCAGACCAATACTGCCACTGGCACGGAGATAAGTTCTGAATGCTTTGCATATGCCAAAATGGCTTTGGAAGCCCACGTTCGTTTCACCACCGAATTCGTCCCGGAAAATGATTGGGCCAAAGAAAGTTATGTTACTTGGGTACTGCTCTATATGTCTTTCACACCGTATATCATTCACTTCACATGGACCATTTCTACGCTTGACGTACAGGATCTTAACCTTCTGGAGCAATCAGTCACCATGCTCGATCGATTCAAGCACATCTCCAAGGGGTCTCTCCGATTACGCAACGTATGCGGCGCATTTCTGGAAACGGCAAAGGTTCTTGTTCAGTCGCAGCACTCATTGTCAGGAATCCACCAACACGACGATGGCTCCCTCATGTTCACCGACGTTATGAATTCGTCGGCTCCATCCAATCTTGACTGGAATGCTTGGAGCCAGGCCTTTCCCACCATGGATCGCAATGCTGATATGTCTATGTTCTTGAACAATTGGCTCGGTGATAATCGACCTGTCATGGATATGCTCGGATTAGATGCTTTTGACCAGAGCAGACCCAATCGATGAAGCTTAGTAATTCTTCCATAGGAATTACTATGAGCACAACTCCAGTCACGACAACCCCTCACTAAATGTTGCGATCGATGTGGCGAAGAAAGCGAACAGGATATGACGAACTATGTGTACCAAGTAACGGTTCGAAGACACATTTCAGCCATATCGTTTTATTCCATTCAGAAACATACTGTACATGAGGGACATGACATGCTAACATATGCACTACTCGATGGTCAGGCAATTTGAAGAGATCAACGCGGGTCGCAGGGTGAGCAATTGCCCCTGATAGCGACCTGAAACTCTCCACGGTGGTAGACAGGTCGTAAACGGGATTTCTAGAAGAGTCGGAGGCTTGATCAGGGACTTACTCGAGTAACCCCTGGAATTTAGCCAGCGGGATATATGGCTGGAGACCAACGCAGGAACAGAGCAGCCAACACGCACGTTTGGTGCCAGCTCGTAGCAGAATGAACTTTGGAAAGTATCGCGGAGCAGCGCCCGTCTTGTGTCGGAGCCCGCGTTGGCCTCAAGGCGGACTTCTCTTGTGTAGCTGAAGACGCGAGGTATTTGGGTGGCCGTCGATCATCAAAGCTTTCCCTTACCCTCCCAATCAGCCAAAGCAAACTTCTTGTTCCGCTCCAGATAAGCATCGCCCCATATCTTCGACGCCTTATCCCCCGAGTGCCCCCCCGCCGCGCTCGGCGTATCCTGCACCTGCTGGCGATAATACAATTCTCCCAGATCCGCCTCCACCACCTGCCCATTATGGCCTCCCCTTACCCACTCCTCCCTTCTGTCTGCGTCCTTCGCCCCCTCGAAGCCCACCAACTCCTCAAACGCCCGGATAATAGTGCTCATAGGTGTCACCTGCTCCGGCGCAAACTTATCCATCAGTCCCGGCGGCGCCAACCCTGTCGCCACGATAGCAGGACAGATGGCGTTGATCGTGATACCATGGGGCTTCGCCCTCGGCGCCAAACTCCTCGTCAGTCCAACAAGAGCATGCTTGCACGCGCTGTACTGCGGGATGACAGGCGCGCCCCGCAGCCCCGCCGCCGAGGCGGTAATGACCACCTTCCCGCCCTTAACGGGCGTGTTGAGCGCCATGTAGTGCGCCGCGAGCTTGAGACCGTAGTAAGGGCCGTAGAGGTCGACTTCGAAGGTCAGCATGTTGGGGGCTTTGGGAGGGTTTTCCACATCCTGGGAGAGGGAGGCGAAGATGTCGTCCCTGTCGTCGATGCCGGCGTTTAGTGCTACGAAGTCTAGGCGGTGCCCGGCCCAAGAGTGGGCTTTGGCGAAGGCGGAGGCGAGGGCGGGATAGGAGGCGACGTTTGTGGGGATGTAGAGGGTGGTGTCTTGGGGGAGGCGGGTAAGTGGGGGTTGCAGGTCAAGGATGGCGACGCGGTAGGATAGGGTGAGGAGGTGTTGCGTTAGGGCTAGGCCGATGCCTGAGGAGCCGCCGGTTATGATTGCTAGGGGCGCCGACATTGGAAAGTGCAGCGATGAGATGATAAAGGGTGCCTGGTTGGGATAGGGATGGGTGCCAGGCAGGACTGGTTCGTGGTTAATATAGTCGCAATCGAAAGCGACGGATAGACTGGGAGGCCTTGAAGTTGGCGAACGGGTGGGGTTGCGGGGTCGTTGTGGCCCGGCGGCAAATGGCTTCGGCGGGTTGGATGGCTTTCATCCACCGAATTTCCAACCTTTGGAGCATGCAATCGATTATTGTTTTTGTGCTGCGTACCTCCTTTGTGAAACCAACGCGACACAATTATGCTTTTCTACCGTCCGGGTATCTATCTTTGTTCCTCCAGCCCGCTATGCCTCGATGATTCAATCCTGCCATCCGCCACTTTCGCGTGTGGCGCATCGTGATGGTCCGTCATCTACCCTAG